TCCTCATGCTACAAATGACATGGCGTCATTAAGAATATGTTCCTTGACACCTTTACTTTAAAGGTGCGAGAATTAAACCCATGAACAATGGAGTTGTACCGCATTAGTAGAGGTGAGCATCGAAAACGGATGCCTTAGGCGTATCCATAGCGTGTTTGTTTGCCCTTCGGGCAAACAAACTCGCTAGTATAAGATACGTTGGAAAGGCGCAGCTTTGTAGGCCTGGCCTGTGACCCAGAATGGCATTGCTTCTTAGGCCCGCGCGTTGGGGGTGACAGGCACGACCACCGCCACCGCAGCTTTTGACCTCTTCGTAGTAAAGTATTAGATATACAGTATATCAATATTCGCGGTAGCGCCTATTCCTTTTCTTCAACCTATTCCCGTCACAAATTCTAACCTCCTCGTATTCCTCTCTGAGAGGATCTACAGGTACGAAATTGAGCAGACTTCTTCCCATCTCGACACAGAATCGCTCCAGCAAATTTGAAGTTTTTTCCCCCCCGGGTTGTGAAGAAAACTGAATCTCCCTTTTTGAAGAAGCCAATTTCTTTCCGTTTTTTTTGTTTCTCCCCCCCTGGCTAGGCACTCCTGGGAGGTTTTAGGAAGAGACCAACCATAAGAAAGACATTAACTCGTAGATGACGAAAAATTACTTTTTTGCTCTTTGCCATGCTCCATTTCACCATAAAAAATGAAATCAGCTGTCGTTCAGTTAGTCTTAGAGAGCTTGCTCCGGCACCGCGCTGACATTATGCCAGATTTAAGATTGTTTCAACCTTCGTATTGGCGTCTGGAACTTCTATTTTTTAGTGCATGAGACATGTTCATGCTGATTTCATGAGATGAGTTGAGAATAAAGCGGTGGTCAGCTGTTATTGACAGATGTGGTGGGATATGCTGATATCTTATTCGGACATGCCTGAATTAACAGGATGGCGCGTACCATGGATTCCATGCTGCTTGAGGGCATTCTCTTCTCAGACCTATTCGAGGTGGTTCGAGAAACTCATGATGGACCTAACGTTCAAAGTCCGCACTGAAATGGTTCATGAAACGCGAAACAGTCCTCCAGTCGGTCTAACGTTACACATGCACTCTGAAATGGTTCATGAACGTATGAATAGACCTGCGATTGGCCTAACGTCACACGTCCTTAACCAGATGTCTCGAAGACCACGATTCACCCTTATCGGCCTAATTGGCGCCGTAAGTCGAGAATTCTTTTGAAAAGGAAAAGGTAGGCCTTGAGGTGATCTGAAGGCAGACTGCCTTCAGATCACCTCTAGTGAGTCCCGTAGAGAGGCTGGAGGGGGGGGGGAGGTTGAAAAAAGGGAAAGCGATTGAAAATTGGTTTTCACATTACTTCATATACTGTATATATATCACACTTAAATAGGGAAAACACGTCGTTTGGCTGTCTTCGAGGCCAATTGGCCTCTGACCCACTCTGGCAGGGGAAAATGTGTTTATTTTCACATTGGGTTTGAGGCCAATTATCCACAAACCCATCTTGAGATAGGACTATGGTCTCATGATGGTCATAAGGGGTAGAGAGCCAATTAGCTTGGAACCCATTCAGATACTTGAGTTTAGAAAAGCGTCTGCTCTTCTAGATGGGCTGGTTCAATTCTCATTTCATTAACACATTTTCGCTGAAGTCACCTTGAAGACAGGTTATTCCATCCGATGTCTCATATTCTCCCACATGTTGAACTGCTGAGTAATCACCCCCAGTGCTGCCAAATTCTTGCATTAATACTGTCAACATGGCTAGTTGAATCAGTAAATCCTTAATTGAAACTTGTTTAAAGAGAATGAGGCTAATATCAAGGTTCTGCATGGAGGCATGCTGGTGTAAGTCGTTGAAGAGACCCATCGAAATCGTGACCTTAGAACGACTGTCTTTCCTTCTATTCTTCTCGTCTAGACATGAATTCCTTTCATCGCATCAATGATGAAACTTCCAATTCCTGTCTGTTCTCCATTTTATACTCAGACGACTGCTTGTGAAGGAGCAGTTTGAAAAAGGAGACAGGACGGAGTCAGCTGATTATTTCATAGCACTCCACTCCCCCCAGACAATTGGGAAGCTTTCTCTCCCAATGGAAGCGCTCTGAATTAATCTAGGTAGGTATCATCAGGCCTAACTCAATATCATTCTCGGCTCATATTAAAGAATTTCCTCTGAGTTCCGTATTTTGTCGAGCAGTATATACAAGGACACAAGGAGTGGAGCCAAGCAGGGGCGAAAGAAGCTCCAACTGCCCCACCAACCTTCTTTCCCTTTCCCCTCCCTTCGTCCGCCCTCAGGCACCAAGGGCAGGAATCGGACCCATGCAGCCAATTCCATTAGACCGAGCGTCAAGTGAACACCCACCTCCTCAGCGACGCCTACAGCATCTTATCCAGCCAGCATATCCAGCAGCCTCCCTGATCTTTCACCTTCTGTTTCTCTGCCGTCTATCCCTCTCTTCTTTATTAAACAGTCATAAAATAAGGAAGAGATAAAATAATTAATAGGAACCACTCTGTCTTTGTCGTTGCTACCTCATTGACTTCCTTACTTTTTGGCTTCTTCACAATCACCAAAAAGAAAATAACAAAAAAAAATGTGTGTATCTTTCCTTTGTGTCCCCTGTTCTCCCACTTTCCTTTTCAAGCTCTTTATCAGCCTTTCTTCCTGTGTCGTTTCGTTTTCTCTTTCTAATAATCTGAGTATGACAACGTTTTAGGAGACTATTTTTTCAGTTCCCCAGAGAGATCTTCACTGAAATCATCCAGTTCCCCCTATTTAGGTGAGTCATACATGTATTAAGAAATACTTTCACTTATTTGAAATACAGTGGAAACTCGCTAACTCAACCATGATGAAACGAAATTCCTCTTGTGTTTATTGTTTATCTATGTTCAATGCTTCCTCTGGTGGCATCCCATAGGACACCATGTTAAATGCTCCGTTTAAGTAGAATTCGCTAATCTCGAATTTCCGAATATCTTGAATCGCATTTTCATTCCTGATTAACGATTTTCTAATGGTTAACTAGAAGTTATCTCTAATTGAGGCAGTGAAGGAGGAAGAAAATTATTTTTGGGACTTGGCACTTTTTTAAATACTAGGTGTAAAGAGTTGCCGCAGTGATGGAACCAGTCATTGAGGCCTCCATCATTGTCATCAAAATTCGTTTGAGTGGGCCCAGGAATGAGGTGATGAAGCGCATGATTAATTTCATGTGAGCTAAGGATAAAACCAACGAATTTTTGAAGGGTGTTTTCATAAATGAATTTTGCAAATGAAGTATGGAAATTTCCTGCAAAGGAAATGAAAAACAATGAAAATGCTATTCCCACTTCACTCGGCCATCACTTGAAATCAGATTCATGAGAACGGAGAAATTACCCTCTGGTTATGTCTCTTTATCTAAGTTGTTTCTTGTTTTTATTTTTAAAGGGTAGGGGCAATTCCTGGTAAGTTGAACTTCGGATGACTCGAAACGATTTGCTCGGTCCCTTACAGTTCGAGACAATACATTTTTACTGTATTAAGTACTTGTAATCCCAAGAACAATCCTTTTCATGGAATCTCATAAAACGCAGGAATAAATCACCTTATGAAATTTATTTTCATGAGGGATCGAATACCGATTTTACAGATGACGTCAGGAGTGGGCGAAATGATTCCCTTAATCGCTCTGTATCGGACATCGAGATTGCCGGAAGCTCATTGCCCAGTAGGTCCACACCAAAATCTTCAAGAACCAACGGTGATTTGTTGAATATAGTCTTTGAATGTTGTTTTTCGGGCTTAGATGTGTGTGGAGAAATTTTGAACGTTCCAGAGAGGGGGTTCAGGACTGGACGAGACGATTCCCTGAGTTGTTCCGTATCAGATGTCGAGGTCGCTGGAAGCCCAATCCACAGTCTGTCCACGCCCATGACTTTTCGAACAAAAGGTGAATATTTTGGTGCAGTCTTTCAATATTATAAGTGTGGGATCTGCATGTCTAAATTTCGAACTTTTCAGGTCTGGAAGTCAGGAGAACACTTGACGATTCCTTGAGTTGTTCGGTATCAGATGTCGAGATTGCCGGAAGTCCATCGTCCAGTCTGTCATGCCCCAGGCCTCTCGAGATAGTGAGCAGCTGAAATGTGGCTATCGAGTGACTTTTGAGAACATTGTTCGTCGTGCATGAACCTTAGGTGTTACAGGTTATGTTTTAACGATGCCCTGTCTAATATGTGAATTTCTTCCCCCAGATGTGGATGCAGATCTATCAGGCATCGAGAAATTATCCGATCTTGCAGCAGAATTGACAGGGGAGACGTTGACTTTCAGTAGTCCCATTCCTTCCCCAGAGATGGGATTCATGGACTTGGAGGAATCGCGAGCATTGCATACCCTTAGTGATGGCTTCGACTCCTCCTTTCACAGTGAGTCAATATGACATCATCGCCACCGTAATCAGTCACCCTTAAAAAAGAGAAACCTGCTGATTTATTTCTGAGATTCATACTAGAATCCTCGTAATGCCGCCAGGTTTGGGGAAAATAATACGTGCTGTATTGGAAGGATACTTAGTGTTGAGTACTTATTCTTGAGCCTAGGGCTGTGCAACCTTTATTGGCAGTGGGCCACATGAAAATGTCTGACACTTCAGGCGAGTCATAGAATGCGAAAGAAAAGACTCCCCTCTCGTGTCCTTATGTCATTAAGGCATAAGGTTGCACTGATTTGTAGTGGAGCTGATATCATTTGGTACACTTTTCATTTCACATATCATTTTGACGTTACGCATTGCCCCATCAAACATATTGCGACTTTGCTCTTCATTCAAAATTTAAATTAAGTGTTGAATGCCATCATTTTATAAGCCCGCCATCATAAAATATGCACTTGCTCACTCCGAAAAGTAGGAAATAAGAGAGAACTTGGGAATGCATGAAAGTGGTGTTCAGCCATGACTAATTTTCCAGCCTCCTGGGTAATAAAACCACCTATTCGCTGGTCCAGTTTTTGCCAGGCCGCAGCGGCTGGCTGTGCCGTACAGACACCATTAATTCACGGAATTTCCTGGGTCCTGCCTGAATTGGGTTATTGACAGACGACCCTCACCTTTCCCCGCTCCCAAGAAATTCCAACGCCCTTTTCATTTAGAACTTCCTTCTTTGGGCCATTTCCACCAACGTCAGCATGAGCAATAATTAGGGGAAAGAGGTGAAAGGACAAACTGTTTATTTATAGTTACTGAATGATGATCAAAGTTGTGATGGGCCTCGTTTATTGTTATTATTCACTAATGAACTTATTTTATTTGTTATTCCATTGCCCATTACTGGGCAGCAAGAAGAAGCTCCACGGGTCGTGGATTGCATATCCCTGCACTAGCCCCACTTTGGCTGGTGATTTGTAGATGAGTGGGTGAAATTTCTTACTGTAATTTCGTGGCCAGTATTCAGCATTCTGTAAATTCTATGGAAAAGGAAATTTGCTACTCTTTAGACCGATGAAACACAAGGCCACTGTCGCGTGCATTCTCAAATTTATAATCAAAACCGTATTGCCTTGAATACTGCAAGGGTCGAAGCATAATCTAATATATATAGACGATCGTGACTGACTGACTGACGATAATTCTAACCATGTTCCAGAAAGGTTAGAAATCTGAAACTTGGTACACATGTGCCTTTGGCGTTGCAAAGATCAGAAAACATCTGATTTTGGAGGTATATGCCCTGGGGGTATAGATTTTNCCATGTTCCAGAAAGGTTAGAAATCTGAAACTTGGTACACATGTGCCTTTGGCGTTGCAAAGATCAGAAAACATCTGATTTTGGAGGTATATGCCCTGGGGGTATAGATTTTGGGGGGAGAATTTTTCAAAATATATATCGTGATAGATAAGGATGTCATCGAGATGTCACCGTTTCGGTGGTGTAGTGGCAGCACATCTAACAGGTAATCGTGAGGCCCGTGTTCAATTCCCGGCCACTCCATGCCCTTTTTTGCCATTTCTTGCCTTCCATGTCCTGTGGCTTGAGTAAAACGGAGAGACATGGAAAGCTGAAACTTGGCAGGGACGTGCCTACCGACACGATGAGTTCAGGAAAAATGCAAAATTTTAGATCCATGCCACGGAGGCATATTTTTCATGGCCAAATTTTTCAAGTGTTTTTTTTTGTCCTGGTGTATTGAGCAAGGAAAAATGCAAAATTTTAGATCCATGCCCCGGAGGCATATTTTTCATGGCCAAATTTTTCAAGTGTTTTTTTTTGTCCTGGTGTATTGAGCTAGTGTGGAAAGATGAAAATTGATACATAATTACGTACCGGGATGCTGCGTGCAGCAAAATTCAGACTTTGGAATGAAATGTCCTGGGGGCGTGAATTTCAAAGGGAGATGTTTTCACATAATTTTTTGCATTATTTAAACCGTTGGACAATCGAAAGCTGGAACTTTGTATGAATGTGACTACCAAGATAAGGAGTTAAAGAAAAATGTTAAGCCTTGATAGATCCCCAGGGGAAAAATTCCTCGAGGGGCGATGTTTAAAAAAAAAAGAATTTTTCCTAGGAATTGGACAGAAATGGAAAGTTGAAACTTGACACATGTATAAGTGACGTGATATTATTGAGTTGAGGGTGTACTCAGCTTTCATGGTGCATCCCCTCCGGGCATTGCTTTTGGATAGGTCGGCTTTCCCAAACATAATTTTTCACCAGCGAAAAAGGGAAACGTATTATATTGAAAGTTTGTGGGCATGTAGTTCACTGAGATTTGATTTCGGTAAAAATGGTAATTTCATGTTAAAACGCACGAGGGCACATATTTCTCTAATTTTCCTGAATTTTCTTATCCAGCAAAACGGAGGGTGCTAGAAAGTTTAAACTTGGCAAAGAAGTACATGATGAAAGCTGAGTAAAGAAACAGTTCTACTTACATCTAATGCATATAGACGACCGTGACTGAATGACTGAGGGTGATTCCATTTAAAATCAGGCAGGGCTTGTCAGGTCATAGTCTTGGATTTTTTCAAAAAAATATATGTTATCCCCCCTTTCAAATGATGGAAAATGGTATCTTATTTTCCTCTATATCTGCAATAGTTTCGGAGAAAAAATTAACAAGTGCAGGGCTCTAAAAAGGGCGACTTGTGAAATTCCTGTTTTCTCCCACTTTCAATTTGCTATATCTCCTAAAGTAATAGGCATAGAATCCTGCAAATTTTTTTCTCGCATACTTGAATGTACATCTTGTGGAAGCATTTGAGAAAAATCTAAGTTATAATTTTGTAAATACGTAATTTTGAAATTTAAAAAGTGACGAAACTGCTGAATTTGCTGGTTTTTGCTGAATTTTTTTGCCAGTTAAATTTGTATCCCATCTTGAATCAAGTATATTTTCATGAACTACATACATTTGTGCATCTCTTGTTTTCATTTGGCATTCATATCATTAATGCTTAATTTAATATTAATTTGCAACTTTTCTCAATTTCCGAAAAATGGATGAAAAATAATTTTTTTTTCTCAAAAAACCATCTTTGATTTTTTTCATTTCTTCCTCGTTGATACTAGAAGGCACCAGTTACAGCGTGGTATAAAAATTTCCTCCTCGATTTGCCTCATTACCAAGTTATTGATTTTTAAACATGCACATTTTCCGACGACGTTGAGGTAAACAATGGTCACGCAATCATGATTGATTTTTAGCCGTATGTGTCCAGCATGTGGCCAGCCGTATGTGGCGATTATAAATCCGACAATATCATGTTCACATCTACCCTGATGCAATGGTCAAATTGCGTAGAATGTGAAAAATGCTCCACCGTGGATTTTACTTAATATGTTGTATGTTCGATATTTTTAACTGAAGTACATGGTCATGTGAAGATTATCTTTATCAGAATAGGTTATTCGACGCTGGGGAACACACTGGAGGCCCAAACTAAGAGAATTGTTATTTTCTGTGAAAACATTCTTCTTTAATCCGCATCTCAGTATATATTTATTCACACGATTAAACATGCACATTTTCCGACGACGTTGAGGTAAACAATGGTCACGCAATCATGATTGATTTTTTGCCGTATGTGTCCAGCATGAGGCCAGCCGTGTGTGGCGATTATAAATTCGACAATATCATGTTCACATCTACCCTGATGCAATGGTCAAATTGCGTAGAATGTGAAAAATGCTCCACCTAGACCTCGTGATTCTTCTTTTGTACAGCCGGCTTGGAATCGCGCATACCGTCACCTGCACCCCCGAACTCGCCTCCCGACACGCCCTGTTACGCCCCTCCCACCCATGCCCTAGCAGTCTACTTCAACCCGCCCATGATGATTTCAGAGCCAGACGTTTGAGTGTTGTTTCATCGCCACATACGGCTGGCCTCATGCTGGACACATACGGCTAAAAATCGATCATGATTGCGTGACCGTTGTTTCCCTCAACATCGTCGGAAAATGTGCATGTTTAAAAATCAATAACTTGGTAATGAGGCAAATCGATGAGGAAATTTTTATACCGCGTTGTAACTGGTGCCTTCTAGTATCAACAAGGAAGAAATTAAGAAAATCAAAGATGGGTTTTGTGAGAAAAAAATTTTCTTTTTCACCCATTTTTCGGAAATTGACAAAAGTTGCACATTAATATTAAATTAAGCATTAATGATTTAAATGCCAAATGACAACAAGAGATGCACAAATGTATGTAGTTCATGAAAATATACTTGATTCAAGATGGGATACAAATTTAGCTGGCAAAAAAATTCAGCAAAAACCAGCAAATTCAGCAGTTTCGTCACTTTTTTAAATTCAAAATTACGTATTTA